AAAGTATATTATTTATTTTTATGTGTGTGTGTGTGTGTGTGTGTGTGTGTGTGTGTGTGTGTGTGCGTGCGTGTGTGTGCAAGCGTGTATGCATAATATGTTCATGTGTCTAAAGTGCGCGCGCGAGTCTTTTGAGTGGGGTGCGTAGAATTTTGGGCATCCACATTGGGCTATAAAAAGGTCTCCCCCACCCCCTGACACCCCTCCCCTCGCGTGCCCTCTTTCTGTTTGACCTGACCTTGTATGGGTTCTTGTGATGTCCTCACAGGGAAGGGGAACAACTTCCCTGTCTTTGTGACTCGGATGTATTCCAAACGAGCTGTCATCAAACAGGGTCACTTCCGGTAGTGGACTCCAGTTATTGCCCGATTTTTAAGTTAGTGTATGGGTTTGACGCCACTGTCAACACTATTAGGTTATTTAAGACGCGAGTCCTCCAAATTTAATTTTTATAAATGATAGGACCGGGCCAAATTGGTTGACAGCCTTAAGACTCAACAAAATTACCCCAGTTCAAAACGCCCAGGTCGCGATTCGAATCAGGTGACCTTTTTCGACAAACCTCAGGTTATATTTTAAAATGTACTTGTTTTTTGCACTCATCAACACAGATCTAGATTCTTTAGAAGACGGTCTTCTGATCTCGCAAACCAGGGAAAACCCAGGCTAAGACGGAGGCATCAGACTTGCAAAAAAACAAAACAACAACAACAAAAAACAGAATATTGGATTCTCCCCATTCGGGAATAGAACTCAGGTCTCCTGTGTGTGACAGCAAAGCACCAAACCTGTACCCTACAGACGCCATTGTCTCTGGGTTAATTAACAATATTACATTTGTAATGTCCAGTACGCCTGATACCTCTCCGCTTTCGTAAGAAGAAAAGAAGAATACAATGCAGTCTGCGGGTTACAGGGGTTAAAACATCAACAAACTGGAAAGTTATTTTGCTAATTAATGCCGGGTACCCATCTGCTTGCAAATACAGTCTAATATCTTTCTAAAATTGTGAAAGTAGTGAAAGTGAACAACAACAAGGCAGGCCTCGACATGAACGTCAAGAAAACAATAAATGGTCTTATCAAAATCTTCTGGAAAAAAACCAGACGTAACCATAGATGGGGAGAGAATTGGCCTAGTGCACCAATTCAAGTATCTCGGGGCAATAATCACAGATGATGAAAGAAGTGAAAAAGAAATAAACATCCTTCTGAACAGCTGCTGCAAAATCAAGATTCAGCCAAATGTACAAACTATTTAAATCCAGGCAACTATCTATCACTTTCAGAAAGAAAATAATAGAATGCTACATCTTCCCCATATTCCTATATGGCGTAGAGACCCGGTCTTTCACAAGGAAAGAAGAAAACAAAACAAAAATGCATTTTAGATGTGGCGCTACCGTAGAATGTTCAGAATAAGTTGGACAACAAAACAGACAAACAAAGAGATGCATCAGATTCCACACACAAGACAGACCCTGCTGAACAAAATAAAATGTAGAAAAATACAATACTGTGGTCATTTAAAATGACACGAGACCATCTTGAAAGAGGTGCTTGAAGGAAAGATGTGGGACAAGAGAGCCAGAGGAAGGCAAAGGATAACATGTATGTACAACATTAGAACACGGACTTGACTGGAAATGGCAGAATGTGCAACGGCAACTCTCGAACGTGAAAGATGGAGGCTTATTACACGTCAACCTTTGAGTCAGAGATGACACCTCCAGGTATCCAGGTACTCTTCCCCACAAAGTGCCCTTCCCAAGGACACAAAATCGGGCTTTCTTCGAGATTCAACTTATAGTATGTTAAAGTAATATTATTACAAATATCGCCATGACATGAATGCTATCTATCGATTACATGAAGTATTATTTATGCCAGACCTTCTTAGATATCGACCCTTGTGTCTTTGAATCAATTCAAGTACCAAATCACCCATCTTTGACAAA